ACCCCTCTGTATGCTGATTAATCAACACTTCCAATCGCTGTGGATTTACCGTTGTGGATTATATGACTTTTTCCAATGGATTACAGACTCTGTTTCCAAGGGGTTAAAGCATTGCTACGATGGGATTATCGAGACGATATGGGATTATAATCAACACAATGGAATACCAAGAACATTGTGGAATTACCTTGACTTTGTTTCCTTGCTGGATTACTTCTGACTTTAGTCTTCCTTGAAGGATTACTTCTGACTTTGGTCTTCCTTGCTGGATTATATCAAGCTCAAGGACATTTGAAGGTCTAAGTTCACGGTTGGAATTCATCCCCATGGACAGGTGATGATTTCCAAAGGGGGGGACTGTAGTGAACCAGATGACCTCAAATCTACCAGATGGACAGAGACTGTTATTTTCATTGATCTGAATAAGTCTGAACCATCTGATGAACTTTCTTTCTTGAATTAATCAAGCAGAAAAGACAATCCTCTATAATCATTACTGTCTTACAAATGTTTTGATAATCAAATTGTGTTAGTTCACTCAATGCTTTACAGGTTGAAAAGAACTACTAATTTTTATTTTACATAAACAGTAAGTAATGATTTTTGTTCCTCATTCAGAGAAGAAATCACCTGAATATGCCTTTCTTGATTTTCTGTCTGAAATGAGCAAGCTGTCGTAAGTATGTTAAAGGTTGGTTTTCGGTCAACTAAAATGTTTACCGAGAAAAATGTCATGTTTTACTATTTGAAAAGATTACAAAGTGTGAGACTCCACGAAGTCTGCTGTTGCTGCAATAATCTTTTCTGTATGTTGTAAACAATCCTTGACTTATGATAACATCTTACGTCACAAATCCACTCCTCTTTCTGGTCCTTCCACGAATCAGAAAGCTCTAAATTGAACAGGAAGTCGACCCAAATAAAATGTGGCAACTTCTCAGTTCATAGAATAGAGATTAGAGAATTATGAATTCCAGAGTCCGAGAGAATGAGAGTTCTGAGAGATGCAGCCGGTTATGAAGAGTTTGGAGTTATGAAGAACCAGGGACGTTTGGGATTATACTTCTGTTTGAACTAACCACGCACGACTCTCCGAGGATTTCTAGCTGTTCTGAACGGAGGCGCTGAAACAGTCTGAAGGACTCTTACTGAGCTGATCTATCGTCAAACCAGGTAAAGATTTCCTCTTCGACTCAAGTGTACCGTGGACGGGCTGAGGATCTGACGAAGCGTGCAATTTCTGGTTAAACAGATTAAACTTCCCTCACACAGTTCTCTGTAAGATAATCTCCTTTCACTCTAAAACCCACCTCTCTCTCATAAATCAGTACAGATATTTTAGAAATATCTTAAGCAAAGTCCTCAAATCACCGCCGAGTGATTTGAAGTTCATTTTCTGTGAAACTGTCTGTTATTATTTTCATATTTTGCCAAATTAATGTAAATGTTTGATGTTAAACTTTGATTCTGAAAATAAATGATTCCATTCATTTGATGGGTCAAAGATAAACAACGTCTCTCGTTACATTTCTGTTAAATTCAATGCACGACATTTACAGTCAGAAAAATGAAGAACTCGTGAATATTGTATGCATATATTTGTCATACAACAAGTGACACGTACCTCACGTGACTCACTACACAGGGAATCATCTTTAGTTAATCTGAACAGCGGCATTAACACATCAACAGAAGATGTTCTCATCTTATCTTTTTACGTCTCATCTAACAGGGAAATCCAAAGTTGTCTCTGCCCTTCATGCTCTGCTGAGGAAATACCTGCAGTAGGTGAATTTCATTATGACATCACTTGACTGTATTAAATCTGAACAGGTCAGAGTGAATTAAAGCTGACACATTTGTTCACAATGTCAGAAAAGGGAGTTCACCATTTGGATGACAGAGGTCAGAGACGGTTTTTGTCGTTACATCTTCACATGCTCGTCGTCGTTGATGCACATGAGCTCCGTCATGTGTTATTATTGATGCAGGGCAACTTTGTCACCACGTTACAGTTGTTTGTCAGCTGTCAGATAATAGCTACTTTGAGATATTGCATCCAAACTGACTCCTAAGCCTCTTACGCCTTCAGTCCCGCTGCCAGTAAAATTCTGCTTTTTCCTTCCCGCTGTGTCTGATTCCTTGTTTTTTTGTGTAAGCCTTCGTGTTCCCTGTGAACGATCAGCCATCATTACTTGACAGTTGCCTCTGACACAGGCGACACAGTTCAATCTTGAAATTAGCTTACAAGAAGCTGACAGCCATGGGGGTGTAGTTTTGCCTCCATTTTTGGAAAATAAAGTTAGCTGCTGGAGCAAAGCAGGCCATTGATCAGGCAGAAAGTCTGGTCAGTTTGACATTGAAATGATTACTGCTGATCAAAGAGGGACTTTGAAGGCCAGTATGAGATTCTGACAGGATGACCATGAGCAAAATACCACAATTTTATGGTGTTTAAACATGATTTATGCACTTTTAATTAACGACAGAAATGCAATTATTACTGCTGCTACAACAGTATCACATTACTTGAAAATGAGATTATAAGTGCAATAGAATAATCGTCCCTGCTTTAAGATTTATTTATAATTATTTTAATTTTAGTGCACAGATCTAAAAAAGCAGACATGTACAGTTACTCTGATTAAAGTTTGATTCAGCTTTTTCCTGCACTTGGGCAGATTTTAAACCAATACGTGCTCAGATGTTCCTATTTATAATGTTTTTATTTACAATAACTTGTAGGAGGCTATTATCTATCTATCTATCTATCTATCTATCTATCTATCTATCTATCTATCTATCTATCTATCTATCTATCTATCTATCTATCTATCTATCTATCTATCTATCTACC